TGAAGTATCTCTTCTATAATATAAAGTAAATGGCTGGGCCAGTCCTTCTTGAGAAGTTTGGTAGGAGCAGAAGTCAGCAGGTGGTAGAGTCATGGAGAAACCAAGAGAGTCATAGGTCAAAGGCAATAAATGGAAGAGAGGAGGGATCAGAAACTACATGAAAACAGAATCTATGGGCAACAAAGGCCCAAGGTAACATTTAATTCAAGTAAGCCGAAACCCTGAGGTGCCAGCTAATGCTTAGTACAAAATGTCTGGCCACCAGTGACATATTCAGAAAAAAGCTATCCAGAGACAGACACATATATTAACATAGAAGTCAAATTTTTAGGTTGCAAAGTCATCATGATTTTGTGTTCATCTCATTAGCAAGAGTGAAAGACTAGAAGAAGAAAATAATGAACTTTTCTTAAATGGGATGTATTGTAAACAGATGGTATTTATACACCTACGAGCAAGGTTGATCCAGTGCCTCTGACGGCGTCTCTGTACTATGCCTTGACTTTGGCTCCAACCTCAAGTACACTGACGTTTGAATTGCGTTAGTTAAAGTGTAGTATCATCTCTGGGGGTAAGCAACAGAGCTTCAACATCCCCTCTTATTTCCCTTCCTTCTCCTTCTGCCCTTCCTCTTCCTCTTTTTCCATGTTTGTGCCTTAAATATGCTTTCTTAGACTAGGAATATCTGAAAGAGACTAACCACTACTCATACCGTTTGCATTCCTGCCAACAGCCTAGTCTGGTGCCTCACACATAGCAGGTACTCAATGAATGTTTGTTAAGGTAATGATAATTTCTTTTTCGAATATCTGTAGTTCTTATTTCAAATATACATATTCATAAAGTTAAAGCACTTTATGAAATAGTTAAGGTATTTTCTACATCTTAAAAAAATAAATATATGAGGGCTAGACATATTAAACATTCCCTGTAATATCCTGGCTCTAGTTACCTAAAGTCATCGCTGGGTCATGCATTCACCAGAGGTCAATGCGTGGAGAAGGCTGCTTTGAAGCGTCTCTGAATAAGAGTGTAATTTCAAGTTACTAATAATTCAGGAACACTTGATCTCTTCCCTTATTCTTGCCCAGATGAGTCATTTTCTTGGTAGTTTACCTTGAGCTCTTCCTATTTATACACACAGACTAGCTGGCATTGAAAACTGTGTGCATCTGTCTTTCATTTTGAAATATATGTCTATATGTATTTGTTCTTCCTTACTATTTTTTTCTCTCCATTTTTCATTTCTCTAGTCCCACTGTTTTTGCCTAAAACTAGGGAAGTTGCTTCCAGGGTGAGTTAGTTTTGTGTTTATCATGAAGATGGGTCTCTACCTTTAACTGAATTATATGAAAACAAAATAGCAAAAAGATCAACCACATTGTTTCCCCAAAAAAAAACTACCCAGAAGAATTTCTACTTTTGTGAGCCTCATTTGTTTTCTAAATCCCCAAAGAGAGATTTGACTCAGCAAAAACGGTCTCTGAGCCTTCTTCAGCAGCAGCAACAGCAGCTGAGCTGTGGATCTTGGCTCTAGGACTGGCCTAGTTATTCAGCAGATACTCTCCCAGCCAAGCCCTGGAACAGCTTTAGCCACTGCCACAAATGCTGCCTACCAACTGTTGCCTAGGTGAGGAGAGCCTTGGCCATAAATCCTGGCATTCTCTTACCCCCAAATCTGACTGATTCATTTGTTCACACCACACCTTTAGAGTGGAAGGTATGATTGCTTGCTTTTCCCTTTCTTTCTTTCTCTCTTTCTCCTTCTTCTTTCCTTCCTCTTTTTCTTTTCTTTCTTCCTTCCCTCCCCCCTCCCCTCCCCCTCCCCCCTCCCCCTCCCTCCCTCCCTCCTTCCTTCCTTCCTTCCTTCCTCCCTCC